AAAAACATGCACAGTGTTTTTATATAAAACACTGGCCGGTGACTCTGTAAACATGGTCTTAAAATAGTTATAAAGTCTGTAAAGAGTTGGGAGAAAACCGGACGTGTGTCTGATGTGCGTCAGGTTTTAAAGTGAAACCTGCTGAAGTCTGTCATTGATGGAAATCACAGAACAAAAGAAAAAGAGAAATCACTCACTGCTCTGCTCGCTCATTAACTTTTGTAGCTTGAATAAAGATTAATCTATATAGTTTGTGCATATACAATGTATGGTTTATGTGAAGATTGTTTTAAGTTCACAAATTAAAAGTTGTTATATTTTTTAGAGCCTATTAAATGTTGCAAATAACGGATTTCAATTATACTGTAATGTTCAATGGCTATAATTAAAGGCTAAAATTGAGGGAGAATGCATTTAATAGAGACATCAGTAACATTATTGATATCAATGATACTGGTCTTCATTAACAATAGACTACTTAGTAAAAAGATGCCATTAAACACATATTTAAAATATACCATCTTTATGTTGTTTCTACATTAATTTGGAAGTTCAATATGAAATGATGACAATATTAATATATTAATATGCAATTAATCGCAATTAATTTCAGAAAAATGTGTGATTAATTTGTTTTTTTTTAATCAATTGAGAGCACTGTAGCGAATCAGCTCATGGGGAAATATGAATAATTAATTTAACTAGTAACTGAGCAATAGCATTCAGGAAGGATACATCTAAGATAGTTAAATTCGCTGAGACGAATTGAAGATAGGGGAACATAGAAAAAGAAGGAAAAGAAAGTGAGAACTCAGAAACCAGGGATTAGGTTAAGTTCAAATTACTTCACACTGCATTGTGGTCATTCGCAGACATCCTGGCGCCCAGTCTATTGGGTGAGGGGTCTGTGACGACTTGTTAATCTAATGAATAACTGATTTGTTAAATCAAATGAAAAATTGTGTTTTTGATTGGTCCAGACGCTACAGCACTATATTTATTCTTTTACAGAAGTTACTGCTGGTAATATTAGTTTATTTTACTGCTGAATATGCATTTCAATATAATTTTTAATTTTATAGGCTCCCCCAGAAAGAGGCTCCCCCCACCCCCTTGGCCCCCTTAAAATTTTCAATTCGATAATCCGGCCCTCAAATTAAGCTAATTGAACAGGCCCGCCTTAGTTGCACTGCCTTAGCAAATAGTGGAAAATGTAGAATGTTTTTAGGCCAAATCCGACCTCATGACAGTTAGTTTTACACAAGCAAATACCACTAAAACTTCCTCCAGGAAATGTCAAATCTAATGTTTATGTTAAAGTATTACAGCACTTTAGAAATGTAAAGACATTTCTAGGTTCGATTGTCAGTCGCTAATGCTTGTTTTCAGAAGGCAGTAAGTATTAGCTGTTTTATGGGCTGTGTAACTCTAAGTCACTGTAATTGAAGCAACGGTTGAATGTTTCTCAATGGAGTCATAAAAGACTGTGCATGGCACATGCTATTCAACATGGCTGCCATTACTATACACAATCACAAACCCAAATGATCTTTGAAAGAACCGAAAGCAAACCAATTGCAATTTAAATAATTCATAAATGTACAACTTTTGCAAAAAAGCTACAACTTTAATAACTTCAATAACACAAAACTGTAAGAGCACCACAAACTCAACAACATTCAAAACATGTCAAGACGCAGCAGGAGAGGAGATGACTTTCTTTAAAATCGTCCGGGGATTAAACAGAGCCAAATGCTAAATTTAAGTAAATTAAAGAATCATCTCCATTTCAGATTACTGTCAAAGCCATCTGCTCATTCATAAACAAACACTATGAGCGTGTTTATAGTTATACTAGTATGTGTCTAACTGCTGCTGGCTTAGGAATGCAAGATGAGTGGTGGTGTGTAATCTTGATGTGCAACACGACTCTTGTATGATGCATTCTGGGTAGAGAAAGTACAGGCGTGCTAATTGGCTTGGTGCCGCATTGGATTTGTTGGTTCACATTTGGAAAGTTACATGGAATTGAGGTGGACAGATCGGAAAGCAGCAGTCGTGCGTGTTTTATATCAGAGCGGAGTGTGGGTTAGTATGACACACCATGAGAATGGTGTCAGAATGTTGTGTGTTCAGTGTCAAAATAACCATATGTGAGGGTTTTATTTATCTGATGATTGCTTGCAGAGGAATTAACATGTTTAAAAGGATGAATTCTGTAGTGCAGGCTTTTATGTGACTTTCAGCTAAAATATGTAGTTAAAAATCACACTAAACACATCCAATAGCATAAAAAGATAGCAACTTTTTTTTTAATTAAAAAAAAACAAATTTAAGTACACAAGTATAGGTATATTTTTAAGTACATGTAATGTAAAATTTACCAAAAAAAAGAATATATAATAAAATATAAAATGTACTATTCTATGTAATATAACAGATGTAATGTAGGGCTGATATATATTATTTTATTTATAATATGTGTGTGTGTGTGTGTGTGTGTGTGTGTATACACAAACTTATATATTTTATAGATTATATATATATATATTAGAAATAAATATTTTTAATAAATTTATAATGCTATTTAGTATATTTCAAATAATGTGTTTATAAAAGTAAAAATATTTTAATAAAATTAATGTAAAAAAAAAACTTTTAAAAGACCTTGTCACTTGTGAAATACTAGTATTGTCAATGTTAATGAATTATTAAAAATGTAAAGTTAATGAAAATTTCTGGCCTATTTTCCACCTGCTGGATGAAAAATTTATATCTGATAGTTTAGATTGAAAAGCTCCATTATTACATACTTATCCCTAACAGAAACTCAAATAATATAGACAGCTTTAATCTTTGTTTCACTGACACTTTGCTTATGCAGTGAAATACCTCGAATTGTAAAAATACTGAAAGACAAGTGAATCGAAAGATATCACGGCAGGCAACCAAAACACGAAGCTCCAAAAATCTGATGCTCTATTGTTGTCATGTTGAAAGCATCTGTAACTGCGGCCCATACAAACAGCACATCTGTCTTCAAAACCACACTCTGTCACACGATAAACACAACATTTTCACCCCTAAAAGGGAAGAAATGAAAATCACCAGTTTGTTCTGCTACAAAGCTGAAAAACGAACCATGAATCACGCTCTCACATGTTTATAATTTGCCTTTTTCTTTTTTTCAGATGATGAAAAGCACCCGTGAAGACTTTACAATTAGATTAAATTGCACCATAACACAATGGCTAATTAAGTCATTTTTCAAATTCAATAAGGAAGCAGATTGGAAAGCAGAGATGTGATACGAGTTGTCTGGCAAAAACCCTCAATGAATACGTCCAAGCTGTTCGGCTGACTGATATTTGGCCACGAGTTTGAATTTCTGGGAATTTCATCGGAGTTAAAGAGAGAGGAACTGTAAGATCCTTTCACATGACTCGCATCAGGGTTTCAATGCGTTTCTCAACACAACTGTCGCAGCGCTTTGACCTCAGCGTGAAAAGCATCGGTCACAAAAGGATGATTTTACACTGTAGCAAGAAGTGTGCACAGTAAATGGTGAAAATAGTATGAAACAAAGGAAAACAGTAGTAGTGCTGGGCAGTATGACCAAAAATTTAAGTGTCGTGTTCCGAACGTTGTTTAAGCGACATACACCGGTATTGCGGTATTTTAAAAATTCATATCATAACAAAAATAAACACCGGTATTCGGTATGAACCGGTATACCGCCCAGCACTAAACAGTAGCATATTTAAGTCCTTGACAGCCATCCATTCTTGTACTTGTCTCTCATTTTACACGATCCAGTCAATTACCGGTGGATAAGATCTACACTTTTTCTAGTTTAACATCTTATTTCACTCAGAAATATGTCATTATGGAAGTCAAATGGCTTGCTGATACAATTTCTTGTAGACTTTGCAAGCTAGCATTGAAATCTGCTAAAGGTCTAATGTTGATGTTAATATTATCAATGTAAGTCTACAGAAATGTATGGCCTTTTACATCCACTTGGTGAAAATGCTACATCTGATTGTTTAGATTGTTAGAATATAAGATTTATATTGAGACTGAATGCATAATACATACAGCCATCAAAAACCTCCATTCTTGTACTTGTAACCAATTTTACACGATCCAACCGCTTATCGACGGATACAATCAACACTTTTTCTTGTTGAACATCCTATTTCAGTCAGAAATACATCATGATGGAAGTCAAATGGTGTGTGGATACAATTTCTCGTTGACTTTGTAAGCTAGCAGTGACAAAAATGGTGAAACGTCCCCAAGCGAACAAAGATAAAATCCCAAAAAAACTAATCAAAATGAAGGTTTCCATGCAAATACAAGGTTCTACTGATCAATTGATAGTCAGAGCTGGAAAAACAGGGGTCGGCCCTCACAGAGGAGACATAGGAGGTCTATTTTATAATTCAGAGGCACATGCACTGTCATTCAATCATCTTTCATCGCGTATGAAAAGAGTTCTAATGTCCGCCAAGAGAGGAAAAGATTATGCATGAAGCCCAAATATAAAACCATCAAACACAAGCCTGTCTATCTCAATTAAAGGCATGGATATGACAGTATGTCTGTCATCTTATCTGTCTTTGCCTATATTTATAAAATCACACAAAGACAGCATATAGTTAGTTCACTTTTCTTGTCCTCAATTACCATGGTGCTGTAATTATAGGAAGGTCTCCATGTGCAGCTGCATCAGGGGGCCCCTATGCAGTACCACCAGTCACCCCCTATCTATCAATAGATCAGCACAAAATTAATTCTACATGTTTTCTAACTTCATTTGGACCATTAGGATTAAATAAGTTTTCAGTACGTTTCCTTTAAGAGCTGCAAAACAGCATCCATTTTTCAATCATTTGCTAATCATTTGGCACAAATCATTGTGAAGATTTCATTTTATACATGTATGCTTGAGTGAAACTGTGATGTGTGTGAATTTCTAGCTCTTTTTAGACTCATACCTCAACAATCCAAATCCTTTTTTCTTTGTCTTTTTCTCAGGGTCTTCAGGCTCGTCCTTCTTTTTGCTCTTTTTCTCTTTCTTCTTTTTGGTTTTCTTTTTCTTTACCTTCTTGTCATCATCTACTTCCTGTCGAGAGGAGCTGCTGGCAGGCGTGTCTCTTCCGGAGTCTTCCTCAGAGTCATCTGTTGGTGAAGAACAGAGACATGAGCAAACACCTAATGAGATCTAATCATGAGGAATCAAACAACAATCCATGAGCCAGACTCTTGCTGGTCGTTAAACGATAAAGACAATCTTTTTGGCATTTTACCTCTAAATCAAATACAGATTGGAATTCATATGCATTGGAGAAAAAAAATAAAATATCACAAACATTTTTTAATAATGTTAGAAAATTCAAAATTAAGATTAATCTAATCGCTAGTGGTTCAATGGATCACAAATCTCACGGTTCGGATCACATTACGGTTTTTGACCCACAGATCGGATCATTTTTCGGATCAGCAAGAAAAGAAAAATATTTCAATTTAACTCACTTTCTATTTATTACTTAAAGCGAAGTACTTCTTTGATACCACAGCAAATACTACTACCCTGCATAGTGTTCACTGTATAACTTAAATATAGATTTTTATCATAGCTGTTTTGTTGTTTGATGATCATTAATGACAGCAGCAGTATTTATAGGCCGATGTCCCTTTAAGACCTGATGCATAGATCCGATATAATAATACACATCACATTTGATTTCTTTCTCAGCTGTTTTCACTTGAGACATAACTGACTGCGTTTACCTGAATGATTGTCGAGATGGGTATTTTGTCATAATTTTATGTGTATGTGTCTGTTCAGAGGATTAAGAGGAGGATTCAATTCGGTGTTCGCGCGCCGTCTGAAACGCGTGTGCGCGCTTCATGTGTGTGCGGCTGTGCGCGTAGAGAACAGCGCGCAAGTAACGAATCGAGTTTCCTTTCGCCTTTTCTCTCTGGAATTGTTTAAAATTCGCTTGCTTGTGTAAATACGAACAAATAATAAACGTATACTCTATTATGGTTAAATTTTGCAATCAATCCGCGGATCACATGCGTGCCGAACCGTGGGGCTTGGTCCGTACGGATCAACTACGATCCGTTTAACCACTAATAAACACGCATGTTTGTTAATAGATGATTGAGCCTCATTTATTATTTGTGTTTCAAAATGATAGGCCTATATATATATATATATATATATATATATATACATATAT